AGCCTCGCCCCCCTCCCCGTCCCCCTCGCGCGGGCTGGGGCGCCCCGCCTGGCTCCCGCCGCCGGTTCCCGCTGGGAGATCCGGATTCAGCCCCCATGGGGACGTTGCGGCCATCATCCGGCCCTCCTCTCCCTGCGGTGTGCAGGGGCCGTCCCCGCTCTCGCTTGGCTTGAGGGCTCTGCTCGCGGAGGGTGGGGGACACCCCTGAAGACACGCGTCACCCTGGAAGGGCTGTGCCCAGAGGGTGGAGATCCCTGCCCGGGAGCCTGTCTGCCTGGGCTTGAACATCCTCCATTCACTGCTGTGAGTTCTTAGATTCCAGTCTCCCCCTCTGCAAATTCCAGTGTGATCTCAGATGCCAGCCTCCTCTCTGTAAAATCGAGATGTGAGGATTACACTACACATCTGTAAAGCCCCTGACAGGGCTCGCCCAGGGCAAGCACTGTTTGATTAGATCATAATTGCCGACACGACTTATTGGGCCCTTACTAGGCACCAGGCAGGGTGCTAAGCCTTTAGCATAAGACGGCACCGCTAATCCTCTCAGCGTGATCCGGAAGAGGGATGAGCCCTATTCTGGGGACCAGAGGTTGAGGCTCAGAGAAGCAAAGTCACCTAAGGTTGCAGAGCGGGTGAGAGAGAGAGCTGGGACTTGAACCTAGATTTGAACCCTGTTCTAGCATGAATGTTCCTGCTCTCGCCCCTGCATCACCCAGGGGCAGCTCTGATTTGGGAGAAGGGAGGACAGCACAGAGCTTGAACCTGGCATCCCACCCCGTGTACTTAACGCTCTTTCCACAATCCCCGCTGTTCTGAGGTGGAGATCCTGAGGCATCAAGGGGACAGTGACACCAGTATGTGTCAAAGGAGGGGTGCAGGGGCAGAGCGAGCCTTAGAAACAGTAAATGCTGCAGGAATGTTGGTGCCAGGGCCTCACTCTCCTGGCTGTCACAGTTTAGCTAGTGCCCTGTCCCTCTCCTCTGGGCAATGGCATCATTGTTGATTGCATTCTCAACTGATGGATTAACACGAGAGCAGTCTCTTGAAATGAGGGCCATATGCTTATCAGCTCATCCTCTATTTTTGAATCTCCAGACACTATTTCCTCTGGGTTTTATCAGCATGCATCAAAATAAAAAAGGGGGCCAGGAACCTTTTCATGTTCTGGAAGAATCTCACACAGAAGCGGGGAAGTGGCATGCCACACAGCGGCCTCCGGCCATCTGGAAGCCCTGTGAGTTCCAGTGGCCATGGGGCAGACACACACGGACGCATACATGGCCTCTTCCCTTCCAAGCAGCTCTGTGTCACCATCGCGGCTGTCTGGGGCCTTTTCACGAGTTTGTCTGCCTTGAATGCCAGCGTGGCGGGGAGGGAGACTGGGTGCCGGGTTTTGGCTACACTGATTGAAGATCACCATTCCCCAAATACCTTGAGAGTCTGGCAGTCTTTCTAATTTTATTTTGCGTATGGGTGTGAGGTGGGAAGGTGTGTGTCTGAATTTGTGTGTGAGGGGAGGAGGAGAGAGAGAGAGAGAAGCTGAGCGAACGTGGGTAGCTGCTAGTGGGGGAAGGGAGCCTTCAGCCAGGAGAGAGGAGCTCGCGGAAGCACAAAGGGACAGGACAGTTATTTACTTGGGAATATCGTTTATCGACAGAAAAAGACACAAAGGCTTCGAATCTGAAGCTAGTTGCTTCTTAGCCTCTGCCTTGAGGAGCAAAAGGAGGGACAGCCAAGTGTTTTGTTTTTCTCCCTGACAAAGTCAATGGGGAGTTCGATCTGAACATTTCCTTGGATTCTGGCCTCAGTAGAGTTCAGAAGCCTAAGAACAAACATTTTGTTGCTACTCAGTGACTGGAAGACCTTGAGAAAAATCACTGAACCGCTCTGCTCTCAGTGTTCCCATCCACGCAATGGGAATCTCGACGTTACTTCGTGGCGATGTCATCACACGGGATAATGGCATGTAAGTGCCTGAGTTCTGGCAGGAGTCTGGACAGCGTTCATTTCTCCCATACTCTCTCCATCTTTAAAGAGGAATTCTGTCTTTATACACAGTGCTACCTTCTCTTTCCGATGAAATGAGAGCACCCGACCTATGTTGGAAATATTTTGGGGTGTCTTCCGTACCCCCAAAAGGATGATTTTCCCAGAGTAGACACTGAGCAGCAGTGGTACGACCGATAAGTTGATGCTGGTCTGTCTCTGGAAGAAAAAGCTACACACTGATGTCTCTGAAACGTCTGGTGAGGACACAGTGGTCATTGATCTTGCATCTTGCCTCCGCCCACCCTGACTGTCATTGCATCCTCCATAAACAGTGTCAGAAAATAATCTATAAACCACACTCACCACTGCCTTTGTTGTCCATTCCATAGTGAGGCTATGACTTTACCAGCAGGAGGCCGCATGGGGACAGGGACGCCAGGGATGTGGACAAACCTCGAATGGCAGCCAAACACTTTTCCGGAGACCCGAGCCTTACTTCTTGCTATTTGGGGGTGTTATTTGAATACAGTGAATTCCCTTCCAAGTAAAAATTGTTCCATTTTGCCCCAAAAGGTTGTCTACTAAGAGAAACCCATGAAGCCACAGCTCCTCCCCTGAGTGGGGAGCCCCGCTCCCATGTCTGCAGGGCCCTACAAATCCCCAGATGTTCTGGATGGAGGTTTCCAAGATGCTAGCCGCTGCACTTAAGAAGACTGGTGGGAGTTTCTTTCATCCTCACACTCTCATTTCAGATAGATCAGGGAGAAAGGTTCACTGAGGTTCTGAAATTAATATTTTTTTTTTGAGTTGGGGTCTCACTCTGTTGCCCAGACTGGAGTGCAGTGACACAACCACAACTCCACCACAGCTTGCCACAGCCTCAAACTCCTGGCCTCAAGCAGCAATCCTCCCGCCTCAGCCTCCCGAGTAACTGGGACTTCATACAGGCTGTCACTACCAGACCCGGCTAATTTTTTTCTATTTTTTGTAGATGCAAGGTCTTGCTATGTTGCCCAGGCTGGTCTCAAATTCCTGGGTTTAAGCAATCCTCCTGCTTCGACCTCCCAAAGTGTTTAGATTACAGGCATGAGCCACCACGCTTGGCCTGAAATTAAGATTTTAATAGACATCCTTGGACATGATGCTCTTTACTTCTGACAGCAAAGCATAGCCAGGGGCAACCACAAAGTGTTTCCCAGACCTCAGAAGGCTTAGTAAGACGCCGGTCCTCCCTGCCCAGATTTGGAAAACACCATGAAGTGTAATCTTCACCTTGGCCAACTGGATACACGAAAATTGGATTATCACAGAGCTTCAATTTGGAGGTGGTAATTTACTTGGCTAACGATGCCTTCATTTTAACAACAATAACATTACTTTGATGTAATAAAGGGCTCTGCAGTTTACAAAGTACATCCACAAAATGAAAATTTCATCCCAGGAGTCTCTCAACAGCCCTGTAAGCTAGCTGGAACAGGAATGATTAAACCCATTTTTCTTAAGAGGAAACTGAGGTTCTGAGATTTGCCGCATGTTGACTTGCCAGGCTTGCGTATGTGCGAGTTGACATGCTAAGATCTCCGTGATGTTTAACTTTCCTGGACCATGTCACTTGCACAGAAGAGGCGTGTCACAGGCACCCTGAGTGAAAGCCCCACTGGATCTCCTTCACTCCCAACAGCACTTGTCCCCACCTGACATGGTCAATATTTGCCTGTTGGCTGCCTGCCACTCCCTGCTAGCACGTCAAGGCTCTCGCTGGATGGGGTTGCCTTGTCTTCAAGTATCCCCAGTGTCTGCGACAGTGTCGGCACCTAGTAGGTACTCAGTGAACACAGGTGGAATGAATGAATGCAGTCAGCATAAATAAACACACATAAACACTGCGGCTCATTCATCAAATGCCCTCAAGCACCCTGCTGTTTGTGGTGCTGAGGGGAGGGGATGATGAGAATCCAAGCCCGGCATCAAGGTACAACCAGCAGGTGTGAGTCTTGCCCTCCACCCTCCGGGTGGCAATAACCCCAGTGGTCTCCCTGGTGACTGATGCATCCGGGTGGGAATCTTGGCTTTGCTCGAAGAGCCCCCTTTGGTGTGTCCAGGCTGTGGAAGATGAGGGTGCTCGTTGGCCAATTAGCCATGGTTTCCAGGGCCCTGGAGGTCGCCGCGATAGGG